TGTCTGCCACGAGATACCAATCTGATGAACCAATCACGAGCCTCCCTGTCTCCCTGCTCATTCTCTACATCATGCATGCACAAGCCCACACTCAAAGCATGAGCTGAGGTCAGCTTCTGGACCAATGGTGCTTCTGCATGTAAGTGAGGGGTGTGGCTTTTGAGGGAGCACAGAGGGGAGGGGGTGCAGACCGAGCACTGAGGGAATGCTACTTTAGAAATCATGCTAGTTTTTAAAAATTACCAACCCTGTCTTTAATATCATAACTTTATAATATATAAGCTTTTTATTTCAATTTTTAGTACTAAAAGTCAGATTACATAGAAAGACGACTGCAGTGGTTCTCTTTAGTGGGGTGTGGTGGCAGTGGGTCAGTCAAACAAACTGGGGGAATGGGGGGGGGGGGCACCAGGGTTTGATTCCAGTGTGTCGTACTCTTAAAAAACACTTCTCTTAAAGCTGAGTGAATCAGCCCGCCAACAAGAAACATACATTAGCACTGATTTAAACTCAGACCATGAGTTAGCATGATGATGTCATTTAAACAACGGGCAGTAAATACAGCCAATCATGACGTGTAAAGACAGAAAAGGCACGGGGAATAAAAAAAAAAACTTGCAAGGAAGAAAAAAAAGATGCTGGTGCAAACAGGACAAGTTTTGTAACTCTGTGATGAAATACTGTCAGTTACTTTCTGTGTAAAGATAAACAGACATAAGAGATGAGCACAGGATGAAGATCATGGACGACCATCGCAGTTCTTACAAATAACGAGAAACCTGTCCTGAGCAAAGAGGGGCTGTGAGGGCAAAAAGAATTTGACTGGAAATATAATGATCAAACCATAACCATGGGTGTGGTATGACAGTGGCAGTGAGAAACAAATAAACTTGTCTACATTAAACTTTTCATCTCCAAGAGATGGAAGTATTTCATTTGCAAACTGACTGAGGTGATGCAGACAAAAATGAGAAAAGGAACATAAACCAGAATCTAAGCCGTTTAAAAAACATTTTTTAATTAAAATGAAAAGGGGTGCCAGCAGCCTAGTGGTTAGTGTGTACGGGCGGCATGGGTTCAAATCTGAACAGTGGCTTCTTTCCCGCATTTCATTCCCTACTCTCTCTCTCTCCCTGATTTCTGACTCTGTCTACTGTCCTGTCTCTGAAATAAAGGTATTAAAAGCCAGAAAATAAACTTGAAAAAAGACCAAAGATTAGGAGTTTTTTTTGCAGAGGCACATCATCAGTTGTGTTACATTTTTGGGGCTGGAGTGAAACAAGCTGCCAGGTTTCTTTAAAAAGCTGGAGGAAAAACCCAATTTCTGATTAGAGGGAAAAGACTTCAGTATTTCTTGTGACCCTGATGAAGGCCACAAGCCAAAACATGTCGGTCTAATAAAGTTAATCAAGTCGATCTTCATACTACAAGAAGTGCTGCTGGAGCTTTCTGACCTCTTAGAGCCTTCCTCTCTCCATGCACCTTGGTAGTTTGTGAAGTTGTGCCAGAAAACCCTAATCTACATTTTATGACACTGACAGTAACAACTGGTGTGATTGTGGAATGGCTGAACGGTATCTGACTTAAGAGTTACGCCCTGTTTCCACCAAGCGGTCCGGTTCAGTTTGGTCTGGTGCTGTACCTATTTTGGGAAGTTGGGAATGGTGCCAAAGTAAGGGATCCATACCGTCCTACTTTCTTGGTGCCCTTCTGTTGGGGTGCCAAGGGTACCAATCTGTCCCTAAAGGGTCCCTTTCATTTACTGTGTCCCGTTCTTCTTGAATGTTTAACTTAATTAATAGCGGGCTGCACTGTGTTGGGCTGCTATGATGTCACACTATCACATAGCTGACCTCCATCTGGCTTACACTCTGCTTACCAAATAAGGGTTGGCTGTGGAAACACAAGCAAGTTTAGAGTTTACCGTACCAAAACTGTACCAAAACTGTACTGAACCAAACTGGACTGCTGGGTGGAAACGGGGCTTTACAGTATCAATGAAGTAGTAAACAAAATGCACCATTATACAATAGTTATAACAATGAAAATAAACTATTTCAGCATTCAGTGCATCCTGCGTCATCAGAAACTTCTGTGACTCGATGCAAACTTCAGCCTGAGGTATTTTGTTGAGGAGCAGGAATGAATCCAAAGTCCAACATCATCAAGGCTGAAACAGTAGCCCCATTCAGACTGCTGTTTGTGATGCCCCCTGTGACCTTTCACCTTCAATCTGAATGTCCCAAGAGGTCCTCCTCTGTTCCGTCTTTGGAAGTAGTGACAAAGGCGTTACAGAGAAGAGACAGTTTCAGCAGAGCCAGCAGGGGGAGTGCAGCGGGGTGTGTGTGTGTGTGTGTGTGTGTGTGTGTGTGTGTGTGTGTGTGTGTGTGTGTGTGTGTGTGTGTGTGTGTGTGTGTGTGAAGGTGGAGCTTAGTCACAGCAGTTTTGTGAATTTCCTGTGACCTTCTGCACTTGTAGCATGCATGTCAGTGCACTCTGCTCCTGGTTGGATTCTTGTTTTGTATGTGTATGACAAACTAACCCATCTCTCTGTGTTACCTTCTAATCCGACTGCTTTTCTCCCTCTGCAGCTGTTTATGAGCTTGTTTGAATCTCCACAGCCGCCTCACTGTTGGAGTGATTGTTTGAAAGTAATGAGGTTTGTCTGTGTGTAACGATACATCACTGTCAAGTATCATCAGAATATAATCATGTTTTAAAAGTTGCACAAGGTAATGTGAATGACGCCCTGTTATCTCAACATCACGTCTGACTTCTGAAGCTCAGAATCTGAGAAATAAAAACTGATCATTTAACGAAAGCTTGGTATCCATAGTAACAATATTATCATTTAATATCATTTAATAACTAAATGGGCCTTAAGGTTCATTGAGAGTTCAAACACAGTTATATACAGAACAAGAAGAAGGCTATGTGAACAAATTGAGTTCTGATTTTTTTTACTCTGACAAAATAACACGATTCCTAAAAAAGGAGTTTATGTGCATAACAATGAATAAAATGTTCCCGTAAAATCAAAGTCAATATTCTGATTTATTTATTTTAAAAGGGAAAAAGGAAAGCTAAAAAAAAGTCACACTTTGGTGCAAGAAATCTACGGAGGCCCTAAGGGGACATACATCCAGACATTTGATTTAGTGGACTAAATGGAGACCTTGACTTACTGTCTCATCATCTCAGGATAAAACAGCTTCTTTAGCTTTTATAACAGGTTAATGTATCTCATTATCTCAGGATAACAAAGCTTGTTTCCCCGTGATAACAGGATTGTCCGGATGTCATTGGACATTGCCCACACTAATGAGGAAGTTAAGCCTATTTCTATGTTAGTTTTCTGATTCTGCATGTCCGGGGAAACGAGATAAATAAGTCAAGATCTTGAGAAAACACCTGAAACTTATTTCGTTACCACAGGGAAACAGAGTATGTTAAATGTTTAGATGCATGTCCACTTCCTTTGATTACATACTAACTTGGCAGAATACATTTTTTGCAGAAGAAGAAAAACCAAGTGAGAAATCTGATGATGTGTCTGAACTCAGAACTCAAATGTTTCTTCCACATGTGGCCTCTTTCCTCTCCTGTATGTCTGCTTGTATTAGTTAGTGACTTAAAGGAAATGGTTTACAGATCTGAAAGTCTGTGATCTTGAGGTAACAGGTCGAAAAATGATCAACAGCCACGGCTACATCAGGTCTCTACAGACATCAGCATGTTTGTGTCTCTGTGTGAATCCAGAGGGTTGTGGAAGTGTCATTTATACAGGTGCAAATGGTTTATGAGTGTGAGTGTGTGGGTTGAGGTTGTACTGAAGAGCACATACTGTATTTTATTTGTGTAACATTGTTGTGTACAAACCCTCCAGACCCCTCAGCAGCTGCAGAGTGTCGTTTCTGTCCTGATGTGAAGTCCAGATGTGTCTCAATGCAGAAACGTCAGCAGAACGGAGAGCCAGTGGACCAACATGGAGCCTTTCACCCTCAGAAACAGTTCATACACGCCGAGTTTCCACAAGTTCAGGGACTCGGACAGCGTGATCTGCAGGCGCCTCCTTCTGGACCGAGCCTTACTCCTCTTGTGTCTGTCAGCAAGCAGGACGAGAAGGAAAAGGTCAAAGAAAAAGAAGAACGTTTGTTAAACTACAGACTTTAAAAAGATGGATGACATGTCAGCTTCCCCTGCTGACTGGCTGCAGTATATGCAATAAGCTCCGCCTCCTCAATGTAAACAGATGACCTTGATGCATATTTATTTTTGGGCTTTTTTGTTTTTATTGTAATGACAGAACAGTGGATAGTCAAAAATCAGAGAGAGAGAGTGGGGAATAACATGTGGGAAGGAGACAGCGGTCGGATTCGAACCTGGGCCTCCCGCTTGGAGGACTAAGGCCTCCGTACATTGGGCGCACGCACTAACCACTGCGCCACCACCACCAAGCTTTCACTTTCTGAATATAAGAAAAGATCAAATTATTTTTCATCATATCTCTTGGCTGTGGTTTAGCTGGTAACAAAACCGCTCGCTGATCAAAGCTGTATGGTGAAAAATACCAACTGCAGTAATAATAGTGGCAAACAGGCCTGAATGACTTCATTGGTCTGCTTGTAGTGTCTTCTGCAGAATCCATCAGAGGAAGAAAAGCTGCTACAGAATGTGTGAACAATGGAGTCAGCACTGAATGCAAGCTGCAAACATGAGCTTGTCGAAATTTTTAAGAAAATCGAAAAAGTGATAAATCTCTATTACAGGCTGAAATACCTTTTTCAGTCACAAATCCAAAAGCACAGGCGAGACTGACTAATGTGGTTATGATTTCTTAGAGCTCCACCGAGGATAAAAAAAAAAAACGTTTAATCTCAGGGAGGCACAATAGAAAACTGCATGATGTGTCAATTTTCAAGCCTCAAAACTCTGAAAAATGAGAGAAATGAAATGAAGCCTCTTGGTTCAGTGAGTGGCGGTGCTGTCCGTGGTGCTGAATCGATGGAGCTGGCTCCACTTCCAAAACATGCTGCAGGCTCTCTATCGAACACACACACACACACACACACACACACACACACACACACACACACACACACACACACACACACACACACACACACACACACACACACACACACACACACACACACACACACACACACACACACACACACACACACACACACACACACACACACACACACACACACACACACACACGCACTGCGGTCATGTTAATGCCCAAACATTACCTGGAACAGCTGCATAAGTAGCACTAATGTCTACTGCTGATACAAATTTAATTAAACTGACTTTTCCCGACGAGACCCGAAGTATCTTAAATGTCTCAGTGAGCTCATTTGTAAACAAATCAAGTAATTTCCAGACTGTCCACAGTCTGTTTTTGGTTGTCGTGTGTCACTTACTGTGTCTGCTTCTTTCTCTTTTCAGTTTTTACTCTGACAAATTCATTTTGTCTGCATTGAAATGGATTGACCGAGCAGCGTGCTCCACTAGATGTTATTGTGAACCATGACACAAACAGCTTTGTAAGCTAACAGTTAGAGTGAGTATTTGCAAGATTTGTTCAACAAGTGCAAATAAACACAAATTATTTAACTGTTAAAGTCACACAGGGAATGCAAGGGGGTCATCTGAGGGAAATTTGCAAATAGGAAAACTTTCTGCTTTTTAACTTCATACTTGGCTGTGTATCCTGTCCGGGAACACAATTAGAAACATGCAGACGCGTCATCAGCTTCAGTTTGTGTAAGGGGAAAAAAAAGGTGCTGGCCTGAGAGGGGAATACTTTTAGCTGCCAGCACATGAACTCAGTGTGAGCTGAAGAAAAGGTTCTCCTGCAGACAGACTGAACAGCTCAGAGGACTGAATGTTTGGTTTGATTTGGAGGACGAGGTGGATCCCCTGCTGCCTGAATTACATGACTACTCAAGGCACTAGACTTTTTTTATATGTTATAAGATGAGCTTATTCAGACAGTCTATAGCTCTGTTAGTGGCAGGCAGAGACCCTGTACGTGTGTGTGTGTGTGTGTGTGTGTGTGTGTGTGTGTGTGTGTGTGTGTGTGTGTGTGTGTGTGTGTGTGTGTGTGTGTGTGTGTGTGTGTGTGTGTCCATCATCAGCTGCGAACTGATGTGACAGCACACACACACCTCTCCTCTCCAAACCTGCAGACGTAAATATCAATTTCTCCTCCAAAGCCACTTACTTGTCGGCTTAGTTTGTCTTAAGTTCTGACACACTCCACCATGTGTGCTAACATCTCAGAGACTGAAGGATTTTATTCACAGATCTGTAAAGAGTCGCTGATGTTTCACTAAAAGACAGGAAGTTCATTTTGTAAACCTGGAACAAATGTAACGATTTGAACTCTGCAACAGAACTGGTCAGTCACAGTCTGTTTTCATTTTTTTGATTTATTTGAATTTATTTCTTAGTGAGACCTTAAATACTTCGGATGACCAGGATCTGAAAATCCTGAGCTAAACACTGGGAAGTTTGAAATATAATGAATGATAAATGTATTCAACTGGTTATATACATTTAAAAGTTCCAAACAAATCTGACAGCTTTTACCCTTATTTTGCCAAATAAACATACATCACATAACTATTGAAACATTTCTGCTGATAGGAAATTGAAATTATATTTCCTATAACTCCTAAATATGAAATATTTGTTCTTTTTTGCTTATTGTGATGTCCTTTCCTGAGGTATCTTCAATTCTTTGACACCATTAAATCTGTGTAACCCAAATGTTATGTAAGTGTTATAAATGATGCTCTAAATACTAATGTTTTTATTTATTTTACACCAATGTTTAAGATCATGCAACAAGGATCTCTCATTTCTTCATCACATCCTGGCTTGTTTTTTTTTTTTTTAAATCCTCTATCTGTCTGTTTTTCAAGGTAAGACTAGGAGTTTGTATTAAAGGTCACATTTTCTCATCCCTTTTCAACCAGTTTCAATAAGTCTCAGAGCTCCCTAAAACACGTCTGTTAAGTTTCTTGTTCTAAATCCACTCTGATCCTGTATTTGATCATGTCTATAAACCCCTCTATTTCAGCCCTGCTCAGAACAGACTGTTTCTGTGTCTGTACCTTTAAATGTAAATGAGCTGTGTCTGACCACGCCCCCTCTCTAGAAGGGGATGTGGCTCGGGCTTTCTCCCTCCATGCCCGTTTGATTCAATGAGAAGGCAGACTCAGAGGGCAAAACAAACACCTAGCTGTGGGAGTGTCACCCACCTGGGGGAGGGGTTACTGCCCTTTGTGATGTCATGAAGGGAAAATCTCCAAACGGCCTGTTTGAGCACACACTTTATGAAAAGTGGAGCAGGCAAAAGACGGAGAGGATGGACTTTTCTCATATTTGGGGCGTTTGTAGACGGACTAGGGACTCATATTTGTGTTAGAAAAACATGGTAAAGTGTTTTTTACATAATATGTGACCTTTAAATAATGATGGAGAACTGTATTAGTTCTAGTTACTTGATTTATCATTAATTTATTAAGTTGTTCTGCGTTATATTCTTGTCACTACCTTTTCACTGTACCTCTAAAGTAAACGTAAACACGATTTCAACAAAGGGAAAAGAGTTGAATGTTTCTGACCTGGCCATGGCGCGTATACAGCAGCGAGACATGTTGATGAAGGAGGAGGAGGAGGCCCTGGTCTGTAAGGTGGTCTCGATGCCCCTCAGCAGGTCGTTGGTCTTCAGAAGCAGCAGCATCTGCCGGGGCACTCTGTTCAACAGATCGCTGATCTGAGGTAAATACTGAGCCGCATTGGTCCGGATCTCAACGTCCTGCAGAAGAAAGACGAGAAGGACAGCTCTCATCATCAACCATTACTGTCATCACAGCTCATACAGGTAAGAACAGTTACCTGGTGAAAGGCTGAGTAAGCGATTTGAGTATGAATCTGTCCATCCTGTGTGTGTGTGTGAGTGTGCGTCAGCAGCATTGTCAGAGCTGTCAGTCCAGATCAACAGGGTGTTGAGAGGCAGAGAGTGAGACAGACAGCTAGTCAACATCCTGACACAGATAAACTCTGTCTCTGCTCTCTGTCTGTCCGTCTCTGTCCACATCACCTCCTGTGGGCATGAGACCAAAAAGCAAACACTTCTGCAGCAAACAACAAGCACCTGATTAAACTACATTCATGACACACAAACACGCTGGGGCTCGGTTCAAAATGAGGGTCCCAGTACAAGTCAGCGAAAAGACAGTGAAACTGAATCTTACACAACAGAGACTCAGCAAAGTGTTTAAAAGTACCATTTAGTTTTTATTTCTAGGTACTCTGTAGGGGTTTTCGGACCAAACAAATCTGGGTATGGTGGTTATGGTATGGTACCAGTAATGTACCCTTAAGGGTCTGTTTATAAGCATTGTTTAGCATCTGATTCAATTCAATTCAATTCAAAAAACTTTATTTGTCCCCGGGGGGCAATTCAAAGGCACACAGAGCAGTAAATTAACAACAGTGCAAGTACGAAACATTAATCTAAATATAAAGTATCAATTTAAATACAACTTAAAGCTTAAACTTAACTTAAAAATACAAAATATAAAAAGAGTAGATATAAGTGGACAGTGATTGGACTAACAGATGTAAACAGATGTAACCAGAACTATGTGCAGTAGTGACCAGATGTAAACAGAACTATGTGCAGTAAATGAGAAATAAATATATATATACAGAGCTATGTGCAAGTAGGCAAATACTAAATGATAAGTTGTTAAGGTGCATGGTGAATAATGGAACAACAGAACTAATATATACAATATAGCTGTAAGGTAAAAATTCAAGGTACAACCACTGCACAACCTCCACCTCAGCGGCAAGGAAGTGTGGACAACAGGAACGCAAGGAATACAAAAAATCCCATCGCCCCCTTTCCAATTTTCCTTAACAATGAGTAAGGTCTTTCCACCTGCTCTTTTGTAAAGCGCCTCGAGATAACACTTGTTATAAATTGGCGCTTTACAAATAATGATTTATTGATTGACTGACTGATTGATTGACACTGTTTTGTATTTGTTTCAAGATACCCCTACTTGGACGTTCCTAGGTAGCTTTAAGAGGGTCTTTCAAGGAACCCTAAAGACTCTTTTCAAGGTACTTTTAAACATCTTTTAGCTTTTTTCTGAAGTCCCCTTTGTGTTTGGTATGTTTTTAACCCTGTTCACGCATTGTGAATGTGGTCTGTTAGGTTTAAACAGAAATACACGGTGAAGTATCAGAGAGAGATTATAAAAACAAAACAAGCTAATGTGGAAAAGTTGCTCAGGAAGTTAACTGCAGGGTATTCAGATTTTTTTTTTTCAAACCCTTCCGAGTCTCCCACTTCTCCATATATTCTTTATTTACTCATTCGACTACCAGACACCAGGTTTAGCATGTAAAGACATAAACCAACTACAAAATCCTCCCCTCATAAACACCCAGCAGCACCAGTCTAAATGAAAAGGGGTTGGGTTTTCTGAAGAGCCCTGCTCAGGGAATAACAATTAGCAGCAATTATGGGAGGTTGGTTAGCGGGCCTCACAGCTGTCAGTAGGACACAGAGACAGCGACAGTGCTCTCATTTGCATCTGAAAGCTTCAATAAGGACATATTGTATTGTGAGTGGTGTGATAATAAGCCGTGCAAAAGGCAAAGGGAATGCAATCGAAGGGGGGGGGGGGGGGGTGGAATCTGTGCTGGTGATTTTTCTTTTCTCCCGCGAGTGTATTAGAGAGTCGTCAGGATGATTTCGTACAGCAGCCTGCAGCCATTAGAAATATGTTGTGCAGCACAGAGGGAGAACGTTACAATCTATAGTGAGAGCAGCTATTAGCGACGCTATTCTGACTCTGCAGAGCGAGAAAAACGCGACTACACTCAAGGCAGTCATTTTATTTGTCTAAAGAAAAGCTGAATAATATGAAATCACTTTGCTTTCCTTAGACTGGTGTACAGAGGGACGGTAAATTAATGTGTCATTTTGTCAAGAAGTGGGGCTGAAAGAGTTGAATTTGTAGATTTATTTTTGGGCTTTTTATAGCGTTAGTTGGGAGACAGGACAGTGGAAAGAGTCACAAATCAGGAAGAGAGAGAGAGAGAGTGGGGAACGACGTGCAGGAAAGGAGCCACATGCCGGAATCGAACCTGGGCCGCCCGCTTCAAGGACAACAGGCCTCTGTACATGGAGCAGCACAAACTAACCACTAGGCCACCAGTGCCGGGGTTGAAAGATTTAAGAATCAATAAAGAAGCTGTGTTGCACTTGATCATTTTCTGTAACTTCCTGAGACGATCAATTTGACCACCAAGCCGTCTTCACACTCTGATGGGTGAAGTGTGTGGCTTTGATTTGAACTTCTCTATTTGGCTTTTTTTCTCCATTCGTCACATTTCTATCTTTGCCATTACTCCCTTTTTGCAAAACGTATCAAATAACTCTACAATGCCACAGAAAAGATGCAGCATAAGTATAAATGTGTATTAATGTGATAATGCTAAGCTCACAGCCTCATTCTGACTTAAACAAAAAACTATAGCTGTAGTCATGCAAAGTCGACGCCTGGAGAAAACATGGTGTGAACAGACATAGAAACAATAGGCAGATATGGACGATAGTATAGAATACTTGGGTGAATGTAGCAGCTCATAACAATCACAACCATAGCATTTTAATGGTAGCACTATAACAACAACGGGTTAATGGTGCGTTCCATTTAGCTCAGGATCTCCCATCTCGGAGCTGGGAATGACGTCACACCTGAGTTTACCACATTCCTGATGCGAGTTGGCAACAAGTCGGACAAGCAACATGGACGAGTACCTTTGTTTTAATAGCTGATACCAGAAGATAAAAACATACCATGTGATAGTTTATGTGTGAAAATAACATGACAACATCTCCATGGATAGAACTTGCACGATACTTTAAGTGTGCTTGATTTAATTACACAAAAAGAGGACTAAATTGCTATTAAACAAAACAGTTACAGCTTAAACGTTACTGTTAATAAACATAGCAGCCGTGTTGGATTTTCACTCGGACTACTGAAGGTTTTCTCGAGATCCCAAGTCAGAATTCAGACTTCATGGGGCGCTCTCGATGATGTATCAGACTTCAGAGGTCAAACAAAGCTTACCATAACTCTTTCACACAAATGTCTAGAATGAATGTAGAATCTGTAAGAGGAGAATTTATGTGTTTAGCATCTGGTTTGTTGTAAAGCAGTGATTCCTCTTTTTCAATCCCTTTTCTTTGAAGCCTCCCCTACTTGTGTAAATTTAAAAAACTGTGCCTCCCCCCCAAAAGGACACACACTAAAACAAACAAATACATTGCTTTCAAAAATGAATATAAATGTTGATTTATTTCATGAGAGCTCAAACTACAAGTGTGGCTGACTAAGCAGCCTGATATATTTCAGTGAGTAAACAGGACCGTTTCATTTACAGACCTTAGAATAAACTATTCTGTGTGTGATCATTATTTTAGTTAACATGTGCAGATCTTATTTTGAAGACCTCAGAGCAGACAAAGCTGTGTGCTTCGTTTACAGAGAACTGCAGAATAACTGTGAATAAACGCCGTATTATTTCTCTGAAACGAGAGCTGCAGCGCGGTGAGTATCACATGACTCATGACGTTTACTTTTGAAACATGCTCTGATGGAATAAGTGCAGTGCAAATGTTGACTTGTATGTATTTTTTTTTAAAGATAAAATGCAAACATGGAAGAACATGTTAGTAAGGGTGCTGTTGCGATTAACAAACAGAGGAGTGCATCAGAAAAAAAAGAACAATATATTCCTGACCTCTCTAACCACACGGTGACATTTTGAACAGATTGCTTTGTTTTAATATTTGGAGGAGAGACATTCATTAAAATAATAACATATTCCACTATGGTGAAAAAAAGGTAGCGAAAAGGCAGAGCTCTAAAAGCACTCAACATGTGTTTCCTGAATGTGATTGCATTAACACTAATGGAATGCATCATCGGGCGGTGGAAGCACAACTTAAAAAAATGATCCGCGTATAAGAGAGTGGATAAAAATGAAAGAGGGGAAACAACGAGAGAGACGTCAGGAAGGACAACAAAGAAAAGGCAGAGAAGACGAGTGGATGAGGTCTCAAAGTGTCTTCATAACTGTTACACAATCGACAAGTGGAGGGCACTAGAGCGGAGTCCGCCTAATGGCTGTGTGTGTGTGTGTGTGTGTGTGTGTGTGTGTGTGTGTGTGTGTGTGTGTGTGTGAGTGTAAAAGCAGGGAATGTAAATGACATAGACCGATGGCCAGGAGTGATGGGAGTGCTTTCATCTCTGAAGTGGCAGACAGAGGAGAACAAGAACACCTTACCTGCACACATTCTCACACTAGAGTACTCAACTATTAAGGTTTTGAATTTATAAAAAGGGAACACACAAAAGGTTGAGTTAATAACATGCAACCTGGCAATTAACACAAGTCCAACCACGTACCAAGAGTATGCAGCTTCTTTGGAAATACAAGTTATTTTCCCTCTGATGTCGACTTCTAGAGTCCAAATCTCCAGTAAAGCCTGAACATGTTGAAGTGAGATGATGTTCAACTAGTGCATCGGGGCATCTCTGCACATCCAACACGTCATCAACTCTAAGCAGGAAGCTCCAAAGATCCAGATTGCAACCAGCCAGGGCTGCACAACTAATTTGCAATTTGAGTGTTATCAGGATATGAGCATTCACAAAGCATCACAAAAAAACTGAATTCATCACAATAAATAAGAACAATTATTTTATGTAAACAAGCAATGCTTTCTGAGGATGCACACGTTTACTCATTGCATGGAGG